GGCTGGCTGCTGAACACTGAGGACGCAGAGATGAGAGAGGGAGCCTGGGCCAGGAGCAGAGCTGCGCTTCCTGCTCTTCCCAGTTGCTGCCCTCCCTGAAACTCTCCTTGCTTTAGGGAAATTCATGTGGAAAGATTCCTGCAGAAAGGTATAGCTGGAAAACAGAGAAAGAAATCCCTAGTCCTGCCTGTCCCTTCTCTTTGTTATATTAAGTGGCAGTGACTCTTCTAATCACTGATAAATTCAGGTTTACAAGTCACACTGGCAGTGTCAGGGTTAGCCTGTCAATGTTCCAAACACTGAATGAGTCCCCCACCATCCCCAAATGAAAACAAAAATATTCTTTGTTTGCCATCTTTGTACTGTTTAACATGAGTATTTCAACAGTCTTTATTTTCCAAACATGCAAACAGGAGAGAGTGATCTGACCCACAGTATATTGACATACCATGTAGCTGTAACCTTGAGATAAAAGTAAAGGAAAAAGTTGAAACAGCTCAAACCAAATCCGAACAGATGAGTCTTTCTTTGTCACAGGCCTCTTCCCTCTGTAACAGGGGAACTCACTAACGTTAGCACACCCTGGCAACGACGGGCACACAGAGACAGATCCACACTTGGCGGGCCCCGGGACCCCAAATGCAGAGCTGGGACGTCTGATAGACTAATTAACTAATTTGACAAATGTACTGCTCTGGGCCAGACACTATTCTAGGTGTTGGAAATGTCTTATACATCTAGGGGAGCGATTTTCATCCAGCAGGCACACTGGGTGTGCCACAAGAATTTTTTTTAAATGCAATACCTGACTATTTCGTCAGGGGCACTGACCTCTTTTGCCTTAGACTGTAAAATTTTAAAAAGATAACAGTCAACACAATAGCCATCCGGTGTGAATAAATCAAAATTATACCTTTTTTTGTTGTTGTTGTCAGATTGGCAAAAAATATATTTTTTGGTGTGCCGCAGAATTTTAGTAATTAGTTTATGTGTGCCATGAGAAGAAAAAGGTTGAAAATCGCTGATCTAGGGGATATATGAGACTGGCAAGCATCTGCCCTTGTGGAATTTATCTAGAGGCCTTAGAGAGAAAATCAGAGACTACACTGCCCCGCGTTGAGAGAAGATGGGAAATAGCCACAGCAGAAGCGTGAGCTGGTTTTCTGGTTTCTGTACATCCAGGAATGCAACTGCTTCAAAATCTGGGTCATGCTGCGGCCTGGCTATTACAGACAGAAAAAGAGAAAAAGAGCAGAGAATCAGAAGGAAGCTTCTCTCCTCACACGACTTGGGAGGGGCCTTCGGGTGCTTTTACTAAATTGATCAGGAATAGTCAAGCCTGATGTTTATCAGATGAGAGCAGCAATTCTCTGCCTCTGTCTTATGGTGAAACAACTCCCCAGATGAAATGTCCCAGCATAAGGACAGGTAAATAACTAACTGAGCACCTTTGCTATGCGGGAGGAGCTTAGTGCTGAGCATTTATAGGTATTGTCGCATTTAACCATCTCAATCACCACCTGATGAGATAAGCACTAATTTACTCCCATTTCTCATACGAAGAAATAGACCTAGAAAGTGAAGTAACTTGACCTTGCCCAAGGACACATACCTGGTTAGATAGCGAACAAGAACAGGATCCTAGCTCTGTCTGATGCCAAAAATCCATGCTCTGAGCCACTGCATTTCCATCCATAGAATTCTTTCTCATCATTTTATGTAAGAAAAAAGATGTTAATATTGAGTAGGAAAATGACTCTGATAGTTTCAGAATGAAGTCTGTGTTTTCAAGATATTATCTTGGAAGAGACAGTCAAACATGTCCCATCAGTCAAAACCACATAAGCTCCACAATCTCAAAGGCAAGAGCTGAAGTTTGCAACTGCTTAAATGTACATAAGCCCGACTGCTAAAATTTGAATTACAATTCAAGAATAAATGGAGATCGGTATTTTATTCAACTAATAAATTACCCCTCAAAGTTTATTTTACAACTGCATGTATTTCTATCTTCGCGCGTTATTTGATAATTGAATTACTAATAAAATAACTAACGTGAAGCCGGTTTAGTGAAAACAATGCAGAACACCAGAATGAAGCATATGCCTATTTAGGAATAAGTTCATACGAAAAATTGGTATTAAAAAAATAAAAAAGAATTGTAATAGGGTTGAACTTTAAAAAGAGGAGAGGTCTTACTTTTGCTATAAATCATTTAAATTACATGGAATGAAAGGTGATCAGAGTGCTTAGTTTTCTTTGTTTTGTGGGAAATTGTGCTGGGAATGTGGATCTATTGTGCACAAAGGATGTTGGCTTTATGCAGGAACCACTAGGCAGGTTGAGCTGAGAAACAATTAGCTCAGTCAGCAAGGCTCTGAGCCTGATTAAGCCAGGAAGTGGTCACTCCCCACGACGGGCGAAATGAAGGCGGTCGCCCCAAACGAGGACTGATTTCTCTCTCTCTCCCTCTCCAAGTAAACTAGTATGAGAATTTATTGTGTCAAATCTATGTCAAGGGTTATTTCATTCCATTTATTATCATAGGTCAAACCATTTGGAATCTTGTTTCCAAGCAGATCAACAGTCCACATGTATCATGGCTACTGTCTCTAAGAAACTTGTGTTTGTTGAGGCCTGACATACCCTCATGTTTTGGTAACAGAACATATTTGAGACCAAGGACCCAAGTCACAGAGGAAAATGCAGGGCCTGTACCAGCCTGCTGGCCGGATTCTCATTACTTTGGGGGCTCTCAGTGTTTTCTCCGGAGTTATTGCTTTCTTCCCAGTCTTTTCTTTCAAGCTTTGGTTCATAGGATGGAGTGTCTGGATTGCTTGTCCCATCTGGAATGGAGCTTTGGTAGGAAAACTTTTTGTTACATATATTGAGAGAATACAGGAAGGAGGGAGGGAAAGAGGAAATAGAATAACATACCTTCTTAAGTTTTCCAACAATATGAAAAAATTAAAATTCTACCGAAAATCAGAATTTACCTTAGAACATTAATTTCTATTAGTTGCATTTTAAATATAGGATTTTTCTGAAAATCACTTTATTATGTGTGCTGTATGTTATGTATACTATAACAGAAATACTGTTCAAGAAATTCTTAAAAAGTTATTTTGTTTTAATCTTCTCACCTTGATATTCTAGGAAATTAAAATATGTTTTGAAATTGGAAGTTTATATATATCAGGGGGTTGGGAGAGGTAGAAGAGGGTAAGGGGGGATAATGGTGATGGGAGGAAACCTGACTTTGGGTGGTGAACACACAATACAATATACAGATTATGCATTACAGTATCGTGCATGTGAAACTTATATAATTTTATTAACCAATGTCACTGCAATAAATCCAATCAAAATATCAACCATAAAAATTATTTTAAAATAGAAAACAAAGTAAAATAACTTTCAGACTATGCTTTCATTAGAAATGCTGACATGTATCTTTACAACCCCAGTTTGCAAGCCTAAAATCTTAGTTCTCTCTCCTTTTTCTCTGCACACAACTATTTGACCTGAAACTAATTCAAGAAGTTGGATGACTAACTTCACAAACTTCCCAGTTCTCTAGGAAGGTATGCATGTGCCAAGTACAAGTTGGCACCAAGTAGGTGCTCACTGTCTGCTCATTGACTGATTGCACAGGTGAAAGATCAAACTGGTATGTGAGACTCATGGGTCAAAGAAGTGGCCCATCTAGCCCTGGCTTTGGGGTGGTATGACTTAGGAGATACAGAGGCTCACAGACACAACAAATCCTTCATTTTTCCCCCCAAGTTACCTGGTGCTCACCACTGCAGACTAGAGAATTCAATTTAGAGCCTTTTGCTCTTAAGAAATTTTCTATTAAAATGTAGTCACTCTTGGGAGGGGCAACATTTTAAGTCTTTAAAAAAAATCAGACTTTAATTGGGATAGTACTTAAATATGAGATCCTAGGAAATATAATTTTAATCTACCTATTTACAAAACATGTAAATGCTTTGAGTTACAATGGAGTGTAAAATAAGGTCTTTATGGTGGCAGAACTCGGTCCAGCGAGGTTTAATGATAGTGTGCAGATGAGAGCAAGCCGGAGTGTAGAGCTGAATGAATGAGGAGACCATTCGATGGTGTTTTTCTTTTTTCTTTTCTTTTTAAATACATTATTTTACATCCACCACTCCAGTCTTGGCCCTTTGCTCTTTTCCCTAACACCTACCCAAACTATATATTAATTCAAAGAAAAAGTTATTAAACACCTACCAGAATGCAAAGATGGCAGTTACATTTAGTCAAGTAGCTTCCAAACTTATTGGTGATACAAAGTAAAAAGAGAATTTTACATCTGAAACATATGTAATTCCACTTATATATTTTTCTCTAGGTAAATAGATATTGATACATATAAATAACTAGATCTATATAACAAGTTTTACAAAACCACACCTAACCTTCTCTGTGAAATGAATTCTAATATTTTCTACTCTTTAATTTTTTAAAAATTATGACTTCACATCTGATCCAAAGTTTAACAAAATCATATTATAGCCCAACCCTGTGTTCCTTTCTTATAATTCTTTGCCTATCCCTGCAAAGTCTATTATAATACAATCAACAGATATTCGTGATCTGGTAAGGTTTGATATTGGTAATTTGAATATATGCTTGTTATAGAACAAACTTCTGTTTTGCAATTAGATCCGGAGAATCTATATGGCATATCTCCAGCATGGAGCTAGCTGGTGACTATTTTATTCTGAGAGTCACAGCATGGGGAAATGGCGTTGGAGAGGTTGGATTTGAAGAGGTGGGCCTACTTTCAAGTCCTGACTTTGATGTTCTTGGTATGGGGTCAGGAGAAGACCCCTCACCTAACCGGTACCCCATTGCTGTTGCCTATAAAATGGGGTATTTTACCGGTAAAAACAGCTTATGTGAAACTCTCCAACCCTAAGATGCTCTGAGAGAATAAATGCAACCTGAGCAAAGATTGTATAATAAAGATCTTTGCCAATATTAAAGCCCTATACAGGTGCTGGTTGACACCATGCCTTTCACTGTCCAAACCCTTTGTTCCTAACCCCTTGCCACCCAGTTCACTCTCCCATCCCACTCCCTGATGACTTGCTGAGTTCCCCATTCTGTTACCTCCTGGACTTCATCTCCTTAGCTCATTTCTTTCCCATCACACTGACTTCTTGTTGTTTTCAAATATGCCAAGATGTGTCCGCCTCAGGGCCTTTGTACAGCCTGTTCTCCCCCTGAAGCCTCTTCCCACACACAGCTTGTTTCCTAACCTTTAAGTCTTTGAGCAAATGTCATTTTCTCACTGATGCCTTCCCTTACTACCCTACTTAAAATGGCAAACCTCCCCACAGTTGGCATTCCCTGCTCTATTTTTCCGCATAGCCCTTATCACCATCTAATATCCTGTATAATTTGCTTATTTATTGTTTGTTTGCTCTCCTCCAATGTTTATTGTACAAGGGCAGGGTGGTTGTTGTATTTTCTATTTTGTTTATTACAGTATTTCCAACACTTGGAACAGAGTGAGCCACATACTAGATATATTCAATAAGTATTGTTCAATAAACACTGTTGAACAAGTGAATAAATCCCATGCTCTCCATGCTGGTGATAAAGAATTCTTTACACAGTTGAACTCTGATTAGACTGCAAAAACTAAAGGTCAAGCTGGTATTTATACTAAAGCAGGAAAAAATCCTCATGAAAAGGAAAGCAATGAGAGTGTTCACTTTCAATAATGTTTAAATTTGAAATACAATTTCTTTTTCCTAAGTGAGTTTTCTACTGAACCACAGCTCTGTCTGATCAGGGTCAACTTCAAAAGGCCTCTGACTCATTTCGCAACCTTCCTTGCCAGTCATTTCTCAACTTGCCTGCAAAGTGTATCTTCCTCTGGTGAAGAGATAATTTATACGCTTCAATCGTATTGACATTTCCCTTTGCAAATGACTCCCTATCTCTTTGGAGACTTGTAAGAGAGAGATTTTTACGAGTGGCACAGCGCTTTGTATTTGTTCAGTGCCTTTCATTCAAGGCTTTCTGAATTCTTCACAAATATTGGTCCTCAGACTCCTAGGTCTATTCTGCCAGCCACAGGATAAGCAGTTTTTTTAGAATCTCTGAACTAGTTATTGAATCGCATCATCTGCTGGAAAGTATGCAGCAAGGAGATTATAGCATCTTAAGGTCTGAGCTCTACTTTAATCCAGGAAAACTTATCTTATAGATCAAGATCCTATGAAGAAACCAAAGTACAGTGAGTTTCACAAGATCTGAAGCCTGGAGGGCCCACTGACTTGGCCAATGGTGAGCAAAAGTGCTTCACCCAGAACCCTGCTTGGAGATGGGAACTTGGGAGAAAGATAGGGCTAGACCTACCCATGCAGCTCCAGGCTCCTTCTCTGTTACAGGAGGGACTTAATTTCACCACCGCTTAAGTCTCTTACAGCTTCAACAGTTCTGTGATTTCTAACCACCTGATGGTCAATTTTCCCCTTAGATATCCTAAACTTCTTTAAGTTCAGCTTGTCCAAAAAAATTTTCTTACCACCAAAAACAACAATTTCTTCTCCTGGCTTCCTTGTCTTTTTCAAACCTTGGAGCAATGTTTGACTCAATCCTTTCCTCTAAACTAGTGCTTCTCAAACTGTCATGTGCATATGAATCACCAGGGGATCTTGTTAGCATGCAAACTCTGGTGCTGGCTGGCCCGTATGGCTCAGTTGGTTGAGCATCTTCCCAAGCATGGAAAGGTTACTGGGTGGATTCCTTGTCAAGGCACATGTTTCCGTTGCAGACTCAATCCTCAGGAGGGGGCGTGCAGGAGGCAGCCCATCGATGTTTCTCTCATTGATGTTTCTCTCTCCCTCTCCCTTCCTCTCTCTAAAATCAATAAAAACATATTGCAAACTCTGATTCAGTAAATCTGGGGTAAGGCCTGAGATTCTATATCTCTGACAAGTTCCCAAGGACTTGTCCTGCTGGTCCTAGGACTGTGCTTTGGATGGCACTGCCTGAAACCAGCCCATCCTCAGCCCCACTCCTACCCCATCACATCTAATTGTTACTGGAGCCCAATAATTAAGTTCATCCTGCCTGAACCTCTGGACAAAAAATGCACACAAGTGGGGGGTTTGCAGTAAAGAAAGGAATTTGTTCATTAAAATTGGCCAGTCTGGAGATGGGTGAGCTTGTGTCCTGAAAGAGCCTACTCCCCCGTGGCATGTAGTTTACAGACTATATAGGGCAAAATCACAAGACACCATGGGTTAAGAGTCTGGGTCTCTTAGGAGCTGATTGGTCAGAGGTGAGATAAGGGTAATAAATCACTTCTTCAGGTCTAGGGCAATGTATTTTTAAAATTTATTGATTGGTTTTAGAAAGAGAGAGGGAGAGAAACGTCAATTTGTTGTTTCACTTATTTATGCTTTCATTTGTTTATTCTTGTATGTGCCCTGATTGGGGATCGAACCTGCAAGCTGTGTCTATTGAGATGATGCTCTAACCAACTGAGTTACCTGGCCAGTGCCTGTTTCTTCAGGTCTTGAGGACAACTCCGGGGTCAGCTCTGGAATCCAGAACTGGTTTCAAGGAGAGGTAGCCAAGAGGGTCATCCTGACTTACTGGCAGAGGAGCTGAAACATAACTTAGATTAAGATGTTATCTTTTTTAGCCTGCTAGGGCCTTAAACCTTGTGACCATTAGTCAGAACCCAGGTACAGTTTTCTGCTGCCTCAGGGGTCAACAATCATCAAGGTGAGAGACTATAATCAGGTCAGTAAAGTGTGCTGAGAGGAGGGGAAAAATGATTGTTTTAAAATTAGTTTAAATCAAATCAGAATTACGAGGACCTTCTTCTTGTTCTCACTGTGCACCCCCACCCCGTTGCAGGGTTGGTCCCTGGCCCTGGTCTGGGTGCAATCAATGTGTTTCTCTCACATCGATATTTCTCTCTCTCCCTCTCTCCCTTCCTTCTACTGTCTCTAAAAATTAATGGGGGGAAATTATCCTCGGGTGAGAATTAATAGCAACAACAAAAAAGTAGATCTACATGATAGGGTCACAATGAGTGAACACGTGTGAAGTGTTTGGATAGTGCCTGGCAGAGAGTAAGTGCTCAATGAATGTTAACTGTTGTCATCATTCTATCTACACAGCATCTGTCACATCCCTTGTCTGTAACAGAGCCATAACAGACGTTCATAAGTGAATAAATTAGCCCATATCAAAATGATTCCTCTAAAAGTTTCTATTTCTGTTGTGACTGCTCCCTGCTTCCTTCACTTCATCTTCTTCTGGGAACTGCATCCTTTACTTGAGCAATTTAAAGATTTAGTGGGAGGGCTCACAATTATCATGCAATCAGAGTATTAGCCCCAACTGTTGCAAAACCCAAGTACTGTCCCTAGAACTGAGCACTTACCAGCCTGTGGAGCGGAACTGAGGAAGGAGAGTGCCCCCTCCCCAAGCACCCCACCCTGTGCTTCCTCACAACCTGACTGCTGGCTCTGCCCAACTTTGTCCCTCTCAGACACTCCCTCCCTCACCTTTCGTTTTCCCACTTGACCTCTTCCCTACCTCAAATTGCTTCCTTGTTTTTATTCTTTCCCCCTCCCTATCTAAACCCAAACATTTTTTTAAAGAAATAAAAGGGGAAGGCTGTGACTCCTGAGGGCACACTCCCACTCCATCTCCAGTGCACAGTGCTGGGCGGAGGGGTACCAGTAAAGATGAGTGGGCTGGGCTCCTGAGCCCCGTCCTGCAGGGTGGATCTAACAAGTTACTAGTATTCACGCACCAGCCTACTCCATGAAAGATCTTTTTCAAAGTTTTGTGTAAACAAAGTAAAATTCAAGCTGGCAGCTACAACAGCATTTTTCAACTTTTGAAAGGAAAGAAACAGTTCATGCCCAAGTAGTTAAGGCAACCTGGAATCTAAGCATCTGATAATGTCAGCTATCTGCTTGGAGTTAAACCAGCAGAGAGGCGTCTCCCTTGCTTTTATCTCCTTTGCTTTAGTGTTTCTCACAGAGGAGTGACGTGTCATTTGAGCGCCTTGCCTCTGAAAGCGTAGACTGGCCGTGGGCTTAGCCAGCACTGTTACAGTTTTGTTGTACTATTTGTGCTGGCTCAACCTCCGTAGGGTCCCTTGGAAACTTTCCTCCTGCAGAATCAAGCCAACCTCTCTTGACTACAGATGGTTCTGTTTTTATCCATGGGAGTTTTATGGTATGGCGATGCCAAGTCTGGAATTTCAGGCTTAGCTGCATGAGAAGTTTTGTGTGAGTGTATGTGTGTGCTCCCCCCTCTCGAATTCTCTAAATCCAACATTCAAAATAAAATATGCCAGGAAAATGAAATGCTAGGTCTCAAAATAATAAATATGCCAGACCCAGAGCTACAAAAGCAGCATACCACAAAACCACACTGGTAGAAGCTCTGATTTTCTCCCCCTTATATTTGTTGAGACTATATATATACATTCATGTTTATTTCTCTGTCAAAAACCTAAATGGTACTATTTTTAGGCCTGCCCTCATTCTATATCTTATTTCAGGCACATCTCCTCCTGGTTTTCTCTCAGTCTCAAAATATTTCTTGACTAGGAACAAACGATTTCTGGGTTGGAATAAGTGATTTCCAGGCTCAGTGACCACAAAGGTCTCCTTTATCAGACCTGGTGCTGAATCAAAGATGAGCCCAGAATTTTTTTTTTCTTCATTATCTATTGCTCAGTTCTAGTGACACCATTCCCTTCTTTGTGTAACTATTTTTATTCTGTACTTTGGGCCTTTTTCCTTCCACGGAGACTATAAAGAACTCTCTTTTGAAAAGCTGGACACCACTGCACCCAGAACAATAAACACCCCATCATGCATTCATTCTAATGATAATCTTTGTTACTTGAGAAACAGGGATTGCGTATTTGTATCCCACCAACAGGCTTTTCAAGAGAAAGCAAATAGGAAAAGATAGTGCTGCCGCTGAGAGGGTTTTCAGGGTTTTGTGACACATTTCCATTCCGGTTCTTCCCATGTGCAGTTTTAGCAATTTGTAAGAAAGATGAACAATAGACAATTAATCAAAATGGAACATATGGCAAGGGTTATAAAGCCAAGCTTCTATTGCAGTGGCACCTCACTGTAGCAAAGGTTATAACTGTGATAGCAAAGACAACACAGAAAATCAAAAAATGAGCTTGAATGAATCATATCTTTATGACACTAATGGCTTGTTTTCCTCATTGTCATCACGGATGAAGAGGAGATCGGAGCCATAAATCCATTTAGCCATTTGCTGTTTCTTCTAGTTCATGATAAAGTTGTCAAGTTGTGAGACAGATTGAACTCTTTCTCGAGGTACATTCTATCGTGGATGTTATTCTTCCATCTTCCTTTCGCAGGCCGTCACAGCCGGTGCACTCCTACAGCTGGCTCACAAAGAGTGGACCCAGAGACACTTGGTAAACATGTAGACATTGTTGACGTGAAAAATGTCCAAACCTGTAAAGAATTTTTGTAAGATTTTATTTGAGTCAAAACTGACGACAATTGCCAAGAAGCAAGATCTAAACTTCGGAGAATGACAGTTTTGCAGGTTCTTTTACGCATTTGAAATCAAGGAAGGAACATAAGGAAGATTACGTGGAAGTGGGAGAGAGCAAGATGGGGATTGGATGCCGTGTAATTAACAAGCAAGATTGCATGCTCTCTTTAGGGTGGTTGTGCCTTAGAAGGAGGGGTCTGAAAAGGGACATTTCAAAGGTGTGTCAACCTAGATACACAAGGACAATGGGGCAGGATTTGCTTAAGGCGAAGATAAACATTTACTAAAGAAGTTCTAAGCCTGAGACGTGACTTCCCACCACAATCTGCCCAGTTAGGAATTTATGATCAGATTACCCGGTGAGGTTACTTTCTGTCACTGGACTTGTCCGTTTTATTACAGAACCCCTTTTACTTCCACAACATCGAGGAGGATGGTACAGTGGATTCAAAGATCAAATCTCTACTAGCTCAGGATAGAGAACATGGAGAATGTCATTTCCCATTATAATTGAATTCTGTCTAACTGATGCCTTACTAAGATAGATTTTAGTAATAAACTATGTCTTCAATTAAAATTTTTTATCTGATTCCTGCTCCAAACATTTTCTACAAGTTCCTGTGATTATTGTAAGTGTTGTCATTTGGGGAAGACAGAGCCAATGTTAGTGCTCCTGGGTTTCATCTTGAAGGAAGAGATCTATAGGTTCCTCTGCTTTCAATAATGCATTTTCAAGTATCGACTCCTCAATTGGGGATCTCCTCCCAATCTCCCTGTATTCTTTCCCCTTAAAGAAAGAATGAAAAGTCAGAATATCTTGAATTTTAATAATACTGAACCAAGTAATCCCCGCATATAGAAAGACTGCCTTGATCTCATTAGAAATCTTTCTCCTGTGGCCACAGCAGTGCTTCTCAAACTTAAATGTGGGTGTGACTCACCTGGGGATCTGGGTAACATGCAGGTTCTGATTCAGTGGATCTTGGTGAGACCCGAGATTCTGCATTCCTATCAATGGCCCAGGGGGTGTCAGTGGGCCATGGACCACACCCTGATTGGCAAGGTCCTAGGATAAGGCAGGGATTCTGTTTAGTCATCTGTTTTTCCCACCCAGACTGGTTCTCAACACATGGCAGGTGATAAATATTTGTTGAGTGAGATTGATCTCATGATTTCATTTTTTGCCCCAGTTGTTTGATGTTATTCTTCCATGATGTGGACTGAAGAGGAAGATACAAGAGCCTAAGAGAAGGTTGTGGCCCATTTCTCCTTCATTTCTCCCGGGGGAGAAATTAAGACCTGGCATCTCTTTCTTCTTACTGCTAAGAAGCTTTTGGGAAATCTGGTTCCCAAAGTAACAATTTGTTTCTGCTTTATTTTCAGTGGGAAGCTAGTTTCACGTTTGTGATTCTGAGCCTTATGGGATGTCCACTGCATTTTGCAGTAGCCTTGGAATCGGCTCTCCTCGGCCCATACTGCTTCTACTCATTTTCGGGGGTTGCGGGGACCAATTATCTTGGCTATGCAGTCGCCTTTCCTTTTCCGTATGCAAAATTCACATCGGTGTGCGTGGATCCACCACACTACGAAGAGTACCACCTGACACTTCAAACCCTTGACCTGTGCCTGAGCGTTGCCATGTTTTGTGCGTCCCTGACAGTGTTCCTCAAGCTCTCTGCAAGGCTTATCTGGAATGGACACATCAACGTAAGTTTCAAGAAAGGGGGAGCTGGTTCTTGTTCCACCCTGAATGCTAAAATGGAAGATCTTGTGTATTAATAGTAAATCTGTCCCTTATTCAGCACTGTATCCTATATAACCATGCTTGTCAGTGCTTGGCACATAATAGATGCTCAATAATTGTTTTTGTGGGAATGAATGGAAATATGCTGTTGTGATAACTAAAGGTATGGATGTAGTAGCACCAGCTAATTTTTATCTCAACAGGCAATTTAAAAAATTACTAATTGAGATAAATACTAAGAGCTTCGTGTGGTAATTGAAAGCAGCAGCCTTACTATTTTTAATATTAGTCAAATACAGATATCTTCATTTAGCTTCTATCCCATTCAGAAAGATATACATCCCACTCTTTCTACTCTTACTCCTGCAGAGAGGCTGATACAGGCTAACATCAAATTTTATTTTCTAACTTTTTCCAAAGGAGCTAATAATAATATTAATGATATGATAATAATAGAAACATGAACTATATGTTAACTGTGTATCAGTGTACTTCCCATTTTACAGATAGTAAACTGAGGCTAAAAAGTTTCTATAACTTGCCCAAGGTCAAGCTAATGTGTCTAGATTCAGAACCCAGAGCCATTTCTCTTAAGCAGCCAGATCTATTCTGTGTCTCCTTGTCACCCAACCTTTCCTCCTCTGCTAGACCGTAATAGGCATGGCTCTGGCCCCCAGGAGGTTTAGAGCAGGGTCACTGGGAGAAGAGCACAAGTGGTTTCTGATTCTAAATTTCTACAGGTATTGATACTGGGTCACTGCTTTGTGGGTTGAACAGCTTTCTTCTGGAAAGAGCTATTCCCCAGGGAAAACTCTCATACTGGCTTTATGATTCAAGTCAGTATTATATTAGGATCAGGTGAATTTAAGTAAGGTTAGCCAGTTATTTTTTTCTCCCAATTTGATCCTATGAACACCAACCATTAAAGCTAAAAATATAAGAATTGACACTCTCAAAGCCTTTTGTGGTCAATTGGTCCTCTTGAAGTTCTACATAAGTCTGCAATATCTATTTCTCATGGTTCTGGAGGCTGAGAGATCCAAGATCAAGATGCTGGCAGATTCAGTGTCTGGTGCAAGCCCTTTTCCTAGTTTGTACATTATTCAGAACAGAGTTGATTTTACAAGGACCCTCACCAAGAGTTGAGATGAACAGACAAAAATTGCCTCCCCTATTATATTGCCAGGGCATCTAGAAGTTTAGTATTTGAGATTTCTCCCTCGTGATGAACATCCTGAATTTCTAAAGCCCTTTGTTAAAAGGAGCATATGCCTGGGAGAAACACACATTTAAGTGTTGGCATCCATAACTCCTCAGCATGGATAGTCAATTAGACACCTAGGATAGAAGGCAGGGAGAAAAAAATTAAAAATTTACAAAGAATTGGGTAAGCGAGCCCCATGAAGACCCAATAGTGACGCCACCTAAAGTACCTGGGGAAAAATTAATTAAAAACAGAATAAAGCTCTCCAACTTCAGAGTTTTGCCTTGGCCCATCTTGTTCAGGATACAGTTCTTGGTGTGTGATTTCTAAGCTAATAGGACGCAAAACAACTACAGAGTGAGGCAACAGTAGGTTTACAGTCATTTGTATGAAAAATAATACAATAATTAATAAACAGGGATACAAGAATAAACTCTGTTTCTCATACAACTGTAAACTTATTTTTGCCCCACCCTGTACAACATGTTTCTCCTAGTGGACCAGTGGCATCAGTATCTTGTTAAACCAGATTTCTGGATCTAATCCAAGATCATTCCTACTGGGTCAGAAACTCTGGGGTTGGCGGCAGGGAATGTGCATTTTTAACACATGACCCAAGAGATTCTGATGAAAATTCTCTTCCTAGGACAAGATAATATTAGTGTCACTTTTGGATAGAATCTCAGTTTTCCCATCTGCATAGAATGTAACACTAGTTTGGGTTAGAGTTCCAGATAAATTTAATAAGCAGCATGTCTTTGGTGAGTGGTTTTGGATAACTAGACACCACTTAGCCCACCATCGTGGTAGATCATGTTTCATTAGGGAAGATGAGTAGCTGACATACGGTGAGGTGATGTTAGGTATTAATAACTAGCACTGCCCCGAGCCCACAAGGAACACATACAGCCTTAGTTACTAGGTAGAAACCTTTGTTACCAGGTAGAAATCTCGGCTATGTTCAACTTCCAGCATTGAAATAAATGTAGTATTTATCAAAATTCTAGAAAACACACAACTTCCTTAGAAGGAAAGGTGGGTCACTTGTTGGGATACAGAATTCTATATAGTGATTCTACATTTAATGAACTCTAATATAGTTGTGCTGTTAGAGTCCTGACATGCTAAAAGGAATAAGTAATATTTTAAAATTTTGTTGAAAACTATAATAAATATTGTAAAATATGCCGCTGATTCACACGTCTTTCATATATAAACAAAACACCAAAAATGCCTTTAAAATCTGCACTTTTAAGTGTCTGCCTGAAAATTAAAATTCTCTTACGTAAATATAGTCCATATCTGGAAACTCAAAAAGTATAAAAATTTGTAAAAAAGAAAAAAGTGACGGTGTGAAGGAAGATTTGGGAAAAATTGTAGTTGTACTTTATTTTATCACAGAACAAAGTCAATTTTTTTCAGATCCATATGTACCGGTCAATATTATAGAAAACATTCACTTCTAAGAGTATTTTTCTGTAAGTTCAAAAACATGTTTTCAGAAATGAATTAAACGCTCCTTAGGAATTACCACATTTATTATTTCTTTCTCCTCTCTGCGTCTTTCAGTTTAGTAGAATTGAAGTGATCTTGTGTTCCAGTCAGCTGGAGCTGCTATAACAAAATACCACAGAGGATGGCTTAACCAACACACATTTATTTCTCACAGTTCTGAATGCTGGAAGTCCAAGATCATGACTGGTTCTTGGTGAGGCCTCTCTTCCTGGCCTGTGGATGCCACGTTCTCACTCTGTGCTCACATAGCCTTTCCTGTACCAGCTCCTGGGAAGAGGAAGAGCTCTCTCTTCTTATAGGGGCACTAATTCCATTATAGGGGCTCCATCCTAATGACTTAATCTAAACTTTATTACCTCTCAAATGATATCCCTCCAAATATCACCACAGTGGTGATTAGGGCTTCAACATATGGATCTGAGAGGGAAGACACATAGAATCTTGCTGAAGATCACACAGCAATGGTGTGTGAGGGTGCAGTTAATTTGTACCCAACCAAAACCACAGTGAGAAATGCTTGAGCCACAAAGGGTTTGACGATTTTGCTAAACACTCACAAAGGCATCGTGTGAGTGCTACAGACTAAATGTCTGCCACGCCCCTCCTCCCATATTCATGTTGAAGCCCTAGCTCCCACTGCGATGGTATTAGGAGGTGGGGCATTTGGGAGGTAATTAGGCTTAGATGAGGTCATAAGAGAGCCCCCATGATGAGATTACTGCCCTTATGAGAGGATGAAGAGACCAGAAATATCTCTCTGTTCACCAAGTAAGGATATAGCAGGAAAGTAGTCATCTTCAAGCCAGGAAGAGTGTTGGCACTAGACCCTGAATCTGCCGGCACCTTGACCTTGGACTTTCAGCCTCCAGAACAATGAGAAATAAATGTTGGTTGTTTAAGCCACCTAGTTTATGGGAGTCTGTTCTAGCAGGCAGAGCCGACTAAGACAGTGAGCCCTTCCAAATTTTCAGGGCCTCATGGGAAGGGGTGGAGCTGGGAAAGGAGTAAGTGCTCCCTGCTTGTGCCCCTCCCTGCACGCAGGCTAAAGTGACCCTGTCGGCTTAGGACACAGTGCAGGAAGCAAATGAGCACAACACAGAATTTAAGTGGAGAAACTAAATCATAGCCAGAATTGTCTACATTCTTTCAAGTGATGGGAAAGAAAAGAGTTGGGACGCCAGACGCACTGCAGCTGTCCCCTGCAGCTACTCTGCCCCTCCTCCAGGAATGGAGAGGCTTCCTTTGTTTTCCTTTCATTATTCATTGTTATGTTTGGGTTTTGGGGTTTTGTTTTTTTAATGAAAGGGGGAAAGAAAATATTTTCCCCCTTATCATGTGAGACAATGGTTTTAATTATTTTTTTCAATGAATTGAGCTATTTGCTTCCCATAAAAGATGTAGGTAAACCCTTTAAATGCAGTTCGAAAACATATGGGGACAAAATATTTATCAGTGGAGGACCCTCTTCTTCCAAAATGAAGACAGATTAGCAAGCAGCAATATACTGGCTTCAGATCCTCCAGTGGATCTCCGCTGCATCATTAGCAACATAAATATAACAATGTAAATATGTTTTGAAATAAGTTTACCTGTGACTCTGATCCTCAAGGTCTGAGGCCTCCTGTTGGGCTATAGCAGATTTTTCTGCTGCTTCTAGGAACTAAATCCCCTTGGGTTAATCTGAAGTAAAACTCAAACAGGACCATAGAACAGTAAGACTCCATTGCATTTCTTCCTAACAAATTCCATTATGTGGTTTCTTCAAACTGGTCAGTAGAAAAATCCAAATCTAGAAAAGTAATGATAATTCAGGGCATTACTATTCCTGTGGTCCCATTATTTTCTCTGGAATAATAATAGCAGTTACATAAAACTGGGTAATAGAAGAATAATTGTAGGTGCTATTGGGCAGTTCCTATTTTTCAGGTGCTTTACCTCCTTTATTCCTCACACAACTTCAAAGTTCATTATCCCCATTTCACAGATGAGGCTGTTGAGGTACCCATGTGGAGCCAGGATTTTTTCCCAGGTTTCTCAGGGCGTGGAGCCCAGCCTCCTTGCAGCTGGGCCACGCCTCTTAGGTGGTATATCTTCATTGCTACCTATTCCAAGTGACCTTGAATGGTCTTTGCTTTTCATAAACAATCTTTCTTATGTTTCTCACAGACAAAAAATAGCTCATATTTTAGATATGGAAGTTATTTTTTCCAGAATATTTTTATTTTATTTAATCAGTGGAACCATGCCAAGGATGACAGCAACTTACTAAGAGAGGGGAAGGGGCTAAAGTAATATGTTAAAATAAACTTGATATTTTTTCAAAGAGAGAGCAATAGGCAGGAAGGGGTTAGTAACCTGAGAATAGCTTTTTGTCAATTTTTACTTTATAAATTATTGTCAATGTATTTTTCTTTTGACATAAAGTCAATAAGTCTTTTAATATAAAATATCTTAGTGGGGTTTTTCCTTGCTCCTTACTGTTAATGTAAAATCTTCTCATTAATAATATATTTTAAATGAAATTTTAAGTCTTATAAAACAAGTAAGAAATATATTTAAAATAAAAAGGAAATTTTTGTTTTCTAAAAAGACAGAAATTTGAGTAGAAATCAGAAGCTGCCATTCTCTGTAATCATGTAAGTTCAGTTTTCTTTGTAAATACTAGTGAATATTTCAGAATGATTTAGTGGTGCAAATATGTGAGCACAAAACCATTTAGAAATGTAACAATGCTGGTTGGAGACTTTAAATTTTATTAATTAAAGAGGAGAATACTTGATGGCTATTATTGGATGACTAAGTTAACTCCCCATAGGAAAGAAGGGAGAGAAACAGAGGAAGTAATTAAGGTGAAAAACAATGGGGGTTGTGTAGGGTGGGGAATGACATAATGACACTTCCCGTCCCAGACTGACCCTGGGAGCCAGCGGGGACTGTGGACACCACTGTACACATCAGTAGAGGTGAACTTCAGCTTCCTCATCTCTAAGACCACAGAGCTTGGCCAGCCAGTCTCTTAAGACCTTTCCAGATCTGGCTTAGCCTCTGATTTTGATATACAACTTTATTCCACTGGAGAAGATTAACATTCAGAAGGGAGAAATGTGAGCAGCAATGGCTGGCTCTCTCTTTACCTGTCCTGTGCCACACTGATGTGTTTGCTGGGGGACACCACATGGCCTTACTATGCGAGCTCAAGAGGTCATGTACACCAGCAATATTATTTGTGAGAGATGGTATGAGAGTTGTCACAGATTCACAGATCACTTTAACCATTTTAGAAAAAAACCTTTCTTTGCTCAATATTCAATTTGTCATATCAAACCAAACAGCATTATCTTGTTGGCTGTCTTTAAAAAACAAAACAAAAACAAACAAACAAAACCCTCACCATTATATTAATGAATAAGTAAGAAACTTATAACTCCAATTTATTTGCAAAAAAGGATTATTTTAAAATGTTTTACTTCTCTTACATCACATAACTAACCTAGATGAAAAGGAAAGTGCTAGTTAAAGCAGTGAATTACTAAGTGCTGGGTGGTAGTTAGTACCTATGTGATAAGAATATCTTCTGTTCACTGTATATGACTTTTCTCTTGTCATGTGTCAAGGAGTATGCACCCAAAGCCCTAAATATAATATTCATTACTTATACTTACTCCTCTACATTTATTGAAAATATATTAAGTGTCAAATATTATGCTAAAGGCTAAAGGGTAGAGACAGAAAGATGAGCAGCATACATTCAGGTCCTCCATTGACTTAGAGGGACTGAGGGGAAACGAGATTTGAGCCAGGAGGACAAGAGGCTAGGTGAGGAATAAGCTCTAAATTAGGGAGTGATGCTGGGCATGCAGAACGGGTGATGCACGTGAGATATTTAGGGGGTAGGATCAACAGGATTTAGTAACAGTTAGCATGTGGGACAAGAGAGGGGCCCAGGAAGATGCAAAAGGGTTCCACGAGGAATAAGACAGGGCAATTGGATTCCATGTGTAAGTCTTACTCTTCTCTCATTTAGGGTAAATATTCAGTTTCATCATTAATTAAAAAACATTGTGAGCCCAGCCCAGCCCGTGTGGCCCAGTGGTTGAGCGTTGACTTATGAACCTGGAGATCATGGTTCAGTTCCTGGTTGAGGCACATGCCTGGGTTTCAGGCTCGATCCCCAGTAGGAGGAATGCAGGAGGCAGCCAACTGATGATTCTCTCTCATCATTGTTATTTCTCTCTCTCCCTCTCCCCTCCTCTCTCTGAAATCAATAAAAACATATTTTAAAAAAACCAAAACACTGTGAGCACTCAGAAGAAATGAGAGGACTTCAGCCAATGAGGTACTGGAGCTTGCCACTGGACACTCCATGTCTTTCGTTGGTCACATATCAGATGCAAATGATGACTTGCTTTGAGTTTATAATACACTTAGTGCTGAAGGGCATGGTCTATGAGGCAGTCTAAATCTAGGCCATATGTATTATTTAACAACTGTTCTTCTACTGAATCTCCCATGACAAAGATTACCCATGAGTGACCTATAGGTAGCCAAGCCCAATGGACTCTTTTCAGTCCACTTTGACCTCTTCACAGCCTTCAAAACTATTGACCACTTTTCTCCATGAAATTCTCTTCCCTTTGACTCACATGCACCTTTTGCTTTGGTTCCTTTCCTTCTTCATGTTATTTCCTCTCAGTCTTCTCAGAAGGCTCCTTTGCCCTGCTCACCCCTTAAAGGCTGGTGGCCTTAGTTACTACCTTTGGGCTAATGCCCCACACATCTGTATCTGTAGCCCAGTTTTCTCTACCACTCTTAATGAGCTCTATATCTGACTATTTTTTGGACACTCTCCTGGGTGTCCTCAAACACATCAAATTCAAGATGTCATAATGAAGCTTATCATCTCCTTGTCCTCAATACCTACTCTTCTTCCTGTATCTCCAGCTCAGTTGCCAGCACTCAGGACACTCAGGACAGGCCTAACACCGGGAGTCATCCTTGACTCCTCACACCTGACTGAGTCAATCACCATATCCTGACAACTGCACCTCTTAAATATTTCTTTATCGCGTCTCCCTTTCTCTGTACTAACCATGATGGTCCCGGTTCAGCCCTTCAACTTCTCTCATTCAGACCTCTTTGACCCCAGTCTTGCAGTCTTGTCTTTCTTAAGAAGTATCGTCCACATGGGCCCTAACATGAGCTCTCTAAAGTTCAGATCTGCTCTTGTTATTCCTCTGCTTTACGTCCTTCTATGGCTCCCCTTCACACTCAGGCTACGGCCAACCTCCTTCCTGTGACAGCCACATGTATTCAGCTCCTTTGCAAGAATGTGAGTTCCTTGAGGACAAGGACTGTGTAAGGTAAGCAGGAAAGGTGGGACTGAGAGCAGAGAGATCAACGGTAGCAGAGTCGCAGATTGCGATGCTAGATGTCATTTTTATGTCTTCCTAGCCAGAGCTAGAATTTTACCTGAACCTAGAGCGGGGGTATTTCAAATTGAAAAACAATTCACATCTCATGAGGGAATTTACTATGGTCACTGGAACCCATGAAGGATCTCCAGGAAGGACTACAAAGGAAAAAGATTTGAATTCTCATACCAAGAAACAGTGGTTTATTGAAGAAAAATTGCTTTCAGCAGTTTTATAACACATGGAAAACCTGATGTGCCATGGTATTACTGAAGCCAGACAGCTGGAGGTGAAATTGTTTCCTCTGTCACCTACTATCTGAGTACCTTCATGCAAGTCAATATTGAACCTCTCTGAACCTAAGGTTCCTCATTTGTAAACTGGAGATAACACCTACCTCGCATGTTGCAAAATGGAATGATGTAATTACTACGGAGAGCCTTACACTGAGCATGGGACTTGATAAGTGCTATCTTCCCCTTCCTTCTAATCAAATTTAAATTCTTGGCTGCCATTCAAAGATTTCAGAAAGTGCCCTTTACTCTTTCTGTTAATTTTCGAAAAGCCCCAAACCAATCCAAACCAGACAAAACAAACAGTAAATGACCAAAAGAGATATTCAACAGAGAGATTCCACACTTCCTTAGATGGCCCTACCCACAAAAGTAACAGTTCTTCCTGACTGTTTTATGCTTATGCCAGATATTTTATTACACTTATATTTCTTTTTTATTTCTTTCTGCCATCTCCATTTACCAGTATCACCAATTTTCTTCTCTCTGGTGTTTTCTCTTAAATTCTTAAGTGGTACCATGATACTGTTACTTGAGTCATCCCTCATTGGGTTCCTGTGACATAAAAAGGGTGAAATTAAATGTCAGAAGTGACACTTTATTCTCTTTGATAAATTGTAGAAATAAACTCTACTTTATTTTTCTTTTCATCCTAGGGTCAAAAGAACGGACAATAAATTTGAAGCAATGTTCCTCTTAAATTTGTTATATCTGTGGCCGTGATTTTGAAATATTTGCCAGTAATTTTGACCTTTAAACACTTTTTCTCTATGTTCTTGTAAAATAAAAATTGAAATAATTGTACATTTTAGTCCTTTTTGATTACTCACCTTGTTTTTTCTGATTTACATGTTATGATTTTTAAAAATTGAAATTTCATCATTGTTGGCTAAAAAAGTTTCATAGAAATTTTGAAATCTTAAATATAAATTTGCAGTGAATAAATGTTTTCTTTAAATTTCTCTTGTTCCTGTGTGATGTTTCGTTAAACTGTAATTCCATATTACCTAAATTAAGGAAATATTTTTCTTAGCATTTCTTCATTGCCATCACCAAAGTGACTTTAGGTCTTCAAACACAATTGAAACATTAAATAGTGGCCATATGAGAAGTACCCCTGCAGGGAGAGTATAACCCTCCCTCTTGGCCTCTCTGTAGCTTGTCTTTGGCACTCATGACAAACAGTTTAATAGTTGGAAGGGATCCTAGAGGCCCTGTAGGCCAACTTCTCATCAAATGTCCCAAGATCTACGTGCCCCTGACAGCTCAACCATTCCCAAGAGGCAACCCCACCCACCTGTTGAGTGACTCCAAATGTAAGAGTCTTTCTTAATTCGGCCAGAGATCTGCTTCTTATCTTCTCTTTGCTTTGGTCCCACCTGTAGCTCCTAACAGCACAGAGGAGTGGTTCTCAAATGTGATCCCCAGACCAGCAGCATTAGCATCACTTGGGAACTTGTAAGATCTGGAAACTCTGGGGCTTGGTCCCAACAATCTGTTTTAGGAAGCTCTCCTCCAGGTGATTCTCATGCACTCTAAAGTTTGAGAAGCACTGGTATAGAGTAGCAGCAAGTGGACAGGACTTTGGAAGAAGAAACCCCTAGGTTCAGATCCTGGTCCTCTGTCATTTTAGGCAATAGCCTCAGTTCATCCCTGGTCAAATGGAGCTGACGGAGGTAGCTGATTCTCAGACTTTCTGAGAGAATTTAGTGATACACTGTAGGTAAAGCAAACAGCAGAAACTCTAACACACCTTAAGCACTCAAAAATAGTGTCTAGTGATATGGATTCATTCAACACACTTATTAGTTGCCTTTGAACACCAGTCTTTATAGAGTCCATTCATTTGACAATGGATGAGTACAGAATAAAAATTTTAGACATAATACTTTAGGCATATTATGAAAAATATGATACTCAGAGAAGTTAAGTGACATGTTCAAGGACACACAACTCAACTATTGATGTTTGGAGGTCCTTTAGGAGCCTCCCAGGCCTCAGCTTTTCAATCAACACATTTATCTGTCACTTAATGCAGCAATATGATATCTAGTCCTGGCCTGGTGATGACACAAGTAGGGGCTTCAAATTTATCAGTATAGTGTCTGAATTAATTTTAATATTATTTGAGCATTCCCACACAATATTGGGCAACCTAGCTATTTATTTACTTATTTACATTTTTGCTTTCTTATTTACATTCCACTTTATTCTGAAAGGACTTAAAGGAACTCTGGAACATTTTATTAAGAGTTGAAATTCCAGCTGCCACAGCACCAACTGTAGGACAAGTGAAGGCCCATAGTTGCTTCCCGGAACGTTAACAAGAGGCAAATGTGCAAAATGCTGAGGATTTCAAATGGATACTAAGGGAAGTAGTCCAATACCAGGTGCTTTAGGTTAAGTGGAATCCTTTGTGTAAACTGTTCAAAAGTATAGTCAGATATCAAGAAATACAGGGGTTTATTTCTTGCCTTTGCGTTCACAAAGAAAAGAGCAGACATTTTGCTATGCCCTCGCCTAGAGAGAACTAAATGGTTAACTCTCACCATCCTGTGCCAAGAAGTCTGCTTTACAGACCAGAAGGAATAAGGCACCTTTACTTTAAACAGCCTGTTTCCAGTTTTGTTTGGCTGTTAATATTACTGGACTAGTGACAGAGGCCAAGGCAGGAAAATGGGCTGGGTTACTTACAACTCTTTGAATGTGGACACATCAGCTTGTGGGAAGGAAACTATTTAAAATGGGGCTTAGGGAAAACGGGAAAAAAATCCCCTTTCCCCATATGAGATTCTTCCATGGTGTTGTCATGCAATCTTGAAAACCTCCATAGAACAGTAGATCACTCTTATTGGCTATATGCAAATTATCTGAGACCCAGCGGTTTCCGGCCAGGGAAAACTTATAATAACAGAGCAAGAGTGCAATCTGAGCCCTCGTTCACTGAAATCCCTGAAAGAACAGAGTCGTTCTTGACGGGGCAATTTCAGCCCTTGACATTCCAGGAAATAGCTTAATAATGTCATTTAGGCTGAGGTTGTAACCAATCCTAAGACACAGAGACACAAATGCAGTATTTAAGATTTAAAATATCAGTTTGGGAACCACTATTTATTTTCACAGAGAGATTAACAACAAAAACCACCACAACAGCAAAACGAAGCAAGGCATCCAAATTAAATCGAACATTGTCCCTACTAATTAAACTCAATATAGAAAAGGAAGGGTTTCTGCCAAGAAATTACAGATACATCCTGAATACTATTTCCTTCCCCTTTACTTTCCTAGGTACTGGGCCCATGCCATATCCAGGATGTAACACCCAAACAAAACTGTATTTTAATCATTAATATTTATGCAGAAGTTAACCCCACCCTGGGGCCTCAAAGGCCTTTATGAGACACGCTGGCCTTTACATTTCAATGTGTTTCATTTTCTCTGGGTGCAGTACAGCTGAAAAGGGTTACAAGACTCAGGTTAAAAGTCAGGAAATGGATCAGGGCCCCGCAAGATGACATCATTTTCTTGCAATGAAATGAAGCAATGACATTTCCTGTAGGAAAAATGATTAGAGCAGACAGGCAGCCTCGGTTAGTGCAGGGCTCACAGAAGAAGGTGTCAGGCCTGCCTCCCTCCAGCCCCTTTCTCCCTCCCTCCTGGTCCTTGGCTGGGGCTTCTCAGAGGTCAGATATATTTAAAATAAAGGTATGCCAAAACTTAGTTACAAAAATTGTGGAATTGTTTTATTTGTTAAAGCAATCAATACTTTAAGACAAAAATATATAATTTTGCTGCTTACAAAATAGTTTCCAGATTTATTTTTAAAAGTGATATACAGGCAGAGCCACCAGGACTGATTGTGCAGGTCAGCCAAACGGAAGAGCAGGGATTAAAATCTGGCTCACTCTCTGTTGCCACCATGCTTGCTGGTACAGGGCTGCCTTTTTCGGATTCACACAAAGGTCTCATGACCAGAGATAGGTAGTCTTGTACTGGCACACGGTCTAGGTTGAATGATGAACCAGTCTTCTGCCTTCAATCTGGGGAGTCTCTGTAGCTGTAGGTATAACATCTTTTGGAGGTATCTCCAGAAATGTAAATAAGAGGACCTGCCTGTGAGTTTTAGGCCAAATGAGCCTCCTGGCATGGTCACCCCAGCACATTGAGAGCCTTTTGGGGGGATTTACAAATAGATGGTGCCAAGGAGCCAACACAGCCTGTGTAAGACATGTGGCTTGGTAAGGAGGGGCTCGGGGCTAGGTTTCAGCCTGGTGAGGTGATTCTGTGCATAAATTGCATAACTGTAGTGGCACTACTGATCCCCCACGTGGTAGACCTGCTCTGGATTCCACATGCAGACAGACCTGCTCCAGACCAGTGGAGAGACCTAAATGAAGGCAAAAAGGAATTAGAGGCTCGGGCCAACACCCTGGGACCCGCATCCAACAGCCCTGCTTCTCCATCTGTGGCCTTGTGGCTCGGTTCAGGTAACTGGGTTTCTGCCTTGTACGTGGGTTCCAGTGACTAGGTGTCAGGTGAGTGCTGCCTGGACTAAAGATCTGTTCCCTTGAGTTACGGTTAGAGACTGGAGAACTGCCTCATTTTTGAACTTTGTCATTTTTCTCCTTCTGGTTGCCCTGCTTGGATTCTCGTGGGAGTTAGTGAATCTGCCAAGCAATGACCGTGGCTGCAGGTGTGACCGAAGAGAACAGCTTCCTGATGTTTCTTCTGTCCACTTCAAATCAAAATTAATACTAAGTCACTTTCAGCCATGAAGGAGAGTGAGCAGGAGTGAGAAGTTTCTACTGAAAAAAAAATCAAGCAGTTATGACTGCAGAAAGGTAAAACCCTAGCATCCATGATGGATTTATCCACTAGAAGCAATGTTTCTAAATAGTGTGCTAAGTTTGCCAAACAGATTTAAGCTCTCTTTGGAAGTTGAGTGGGTGGGTGTCGAGGATGTTCCCAGGCACTGTCTACACAGGGCTCACTAATCAGGAGTGTTTCCACCAATCCTTACACAGTAACTGGATGGACCTTGCAGAGACAAATATACTATCTCTGGAAAAATTAGCAAACAACCGAAGGGCATAACATTTTCCCAGAGTGAGTCAAAACAGAGGCACAGCTGTCACACCTTTCCTTCTGTCCTGTGGTGTTCTCTCAAATGTGTGGGTCTCCATAAATGAGTCACTGTTTCCCAGGTCTGCTAAAAGTCTCAGTGGTTACAAGTCCAGGAAGCACAACAAGCCTTAGAACTCCAGGAAGCACAACAAGCCTAAAATTCTAGAACTACAGAACTTTAAAATATGAGCAAGAATATAAACTGTCTGAAATTACTGGGGTTTAATTCCTCTGCATTCTTAGAATACCGAATCACTCCCTTTTAAGGACTCGTTATTTCCCATAGTTAAACCTATCTTTTAAATTTTTATTTTACATTTGCTATATTTGTACAGTCACAAGATCTGCGGCCTGAATTTTTCGCCATTTGAGTAACCCTTCCACTTGCCAGTACATGTTGAAAGTGTCATTTAACTTAAATACACAGATCAGACTTGTTTAAGACTCTACCCTTTCACCTCGCTCTAGGCAAGTAAAAGATCAAAGCTTCCTGTATTCTTTAGGGATGACCCCTTCTTTGTTCTGAGCACTTCTCACATCTCCTGTTTGTAGA